GAGAGAGAGAGAGAGAGAGAGAGAGAGAGAGAGAGAGAGAGAGAGAGAGAGAGAGAGAGAGAGAGTCTCCTTTTTTTGGGGGGGGGAATAATTTTCCAAAAAAAAACATAAGTTGAGATATATGTTACAATGTCCCTAAAAGATATGGGCACAGTGGAATGGCATTTTGGGCTGACATGTTTGTGTTATGCCCCTGTCAGGCGGGTGTGCAAATTCGCTTGGCCTTTTGCAATTGCACCTACGAAAACTTGGCAACGGCCGGGGCATTTTGCAAAGTTGGGTAGCGTCTGTTAGGGGTATATTGCAAAGATGGGGTGGCTGGGGTGTTTCGCAAAATGTTTTTGTCATCGTCCTTCGCCGCAGCGTAGCTGCTGCAGGTCCACTAGTTATCTATAGAAAGAGTAAGAATTGAAGGGGAGGAAATGACGGAACTAAGCAAGCAATATATCCAGGAAGAACTTACAATACAGTGGCGAAGGTGAAAGTTAAATTAGATTCAATCCACAGAACGAAGGACATAACTCTGGCTATTCAGCAATTCTCGAGGGACTGGCTGGGGAATGAGCAGGGGGCTTGGATAGCATATATCTGCTGGGAAGGAGGTAGGGTCTTGGCAAGCAATGACACTTTTTAAAAGGGACTATACAACTCGTGTTAAGGATTGGACTAAGGTGGACACAACAGTTCCGTTGTGCCCCCCCTCGGAGTTCCCTGACCCGATTCCGCCGCATGGCCTTTGAATGGTGGATCTTCAGTGGTATGGAGCAGAGTGAGTGTGGGTTTTGGACGGGGGTATTCTAGTCAGAATAGTTTGATCAACAGGATGGCTGCCTCTTAAAGGGAGAGTAGGGGCCAGTTGATCACGATGTTCAGGCGCCCAGCAGCAGGGCAGAAGGGGCCCCCTTTTCTTCCTCTGATCTGGGGTATTCTGTTTTCCGCTCAGTCAATCCCTGGTCTCAGGGCAATCAATGCTGGCAGGTACGTTGGCAACAGCTCAAAGGGATCTTAATGGCTTTTGTATAAGGGACGCTGGACCCGTTTTCCAGCAGGCGATGCTCCCCACCAATAGATGGAGCCTTCCCGGGCGAGACAGGGGCGTCTGCTCATAACAGTGCCACTAGCTCTCCCACGGGTAGTTTAAAAAAAAAAAAAAAAAAAAAAAAAAAAAAAAAAGGTCTTAAAGTAAAAAACTTGTTTCAGTAAACGGCATACTCATGCTAGGACTTTTCCGATGCAGCTCTGGACATGATTGCAGTCAGATTCATCCACGTGCGGCCTTAATTGCACTCAGAGACAATGTAGAAAAGTGCTAGTGTGAGTATGCCCTAACTTTGGTTCACAATTTGGTGTAAAATTGCAAATGACAATCCACTAGCATTAACTGAGGCGCGCAATGTGCGCTTTCCTTTTTGTTTTGTTTTGTTTTGTTTTGTTTTGTTTTACTTTGTTTTGTTAACAGTAAAAAAAATGTAGGGTTTTGTTTTTCTTGCAGTTCCGGGAGTTGTGTGTTCTGAAAGGTCATCAAGACTGGATTCGATCAGTAGACATTGTCATTCCCGCGCTGCAGTCGCCGCCAAATCGCAGTGGTGGAGGGGAGAGTGTGTCATCGCCTCCCATCTTGGTTGCAAGTGCTTCGCAGGACAAAAACATTCGCATCTGGAGGATCGCACCACAGGAGCAGGGGAAAAGCAGTAAACAGGCTGGCCAGGAATTGAGTTTGGCGATGTATGCAGCTGGCCCTTTATTCAAGTTGGGAGGGAGGGTATGGCAGGCATCCTTGGAATCGCTATTGGTCGGCCACGAAGATTGGGTTCTCTCCGTTAAGTGGCAACGGCCTCAGGTACAAGTTATCGCTGTTGCCGGTGAGAGCAGGTTAACCGAGCACCCGTTTTTCAGCTCCATTTATAAGAAAACCAGAGAAAACCGGTTGCCCCATTAACCCTTTGTGTTGCCGGTACCAACGGGCGTAGCTCGGTTGGTACACCCTTGAATTGTTGAAATACAGACCCAAGTTCTAATCCAGATGCAACCAGATTAACAGAATAAAATAATTCAGAATAACCTGGGGCCAATCAGTTCAATGATCATATCTCAAGCATGTCATCCTTAAAAAAAGAAAAAAAGAAAAAAAGAAAAAGAAAGAAAGAAAGAAAGAGAGAGGGGGGGAAAAGGAGGAACAAAAAGAGATTCATCTCTGTTTCCAATCTGTGCAAATCACTGCAATTTTGCAAAACCATCTGTTTCTTTTTTCTTTTTCCTTTTTTGTGCCCGGAAGGGGGGGTATTTGCCGTTGATCAAGATTGAAGTCCATGGTCTTCATTTTTTTTTTTTCTGCCCCCTCGAGGCTCGAACTCGTGATTTATTTGTAAAGAGCTGCATGTCTGTAGACTCTGTACCATTTAGCCACAGAGAGTCTGCTCAGTCGCTATGTGTATGGTGTCGAGGGTCTTAAGGGCCTAAGGAAGCCCTATCCTGTGAACCGCACAGTTCGTCACCAATGAGTGCACACATATACATGCATCAAACACAAGTGGGATGACACGAATTCACACACTGAATTCCAGAGAGTAGTAAACCAGGTAGTGCAGCTTATAACTTCCAACAAGTTACCATAAGACCAATAAGAGTTCATGTCACCAGCGCTCATCAGCGCATACAAAGGTAACCAATAACCAGCAACAACTCTCAGGTAAGTAACTCTTTCCAGCTCTTTTTCGCTCTCACTGGTCTTCTCTCTAGCTATATTTCTCACTGTGTCTTCTCTCCTGAAACAGTTTTCACCTTTGGCAGTAGCCGATGCAGATCCCAGGGGTCGATCCTTTGACCTCAGCTTACCTGTGTACAGTATCTGCACAGTT